CGCGTGCCGCTCCGAGAAAAGGGCGCGAAGCTGCTCGCCTCCTTCCGCCGAGCGGCCCCTCCGTCAGGCGGCCCGCGGGGATCCTGTGCGATCCCTCCGCTTCCCGGAGCCTGAATTCCGCGGGGAAATGAGGAAACACCGGGCAAATGCAAGATGGGAAAAGTGGAGATAAAACGTTCTATACTGTCACATCAGCTAAAAGTCCTGAAAGGTTTATGTTTCGGAAAAAAAAGGGTACAGAAATTGTGAAACCTCTAATTAAAAAAAAAAAAAAGACAAAATAATGCAGTCGTTTTCTTAAACATTGCAGACTCGTTTTAAGGCATCAGCTCACTCGTTTATATTTGCACACTCTCAATACAGTGCTGTGTATTTGCCACATGCTGCTGCACCCTCTGTGGAGCAACAGAGCGTAAACTTTTTTTTTTAAGAGTTCCTAGATCAAGTAATACTAATAAATCTAATAGCTCTGTAGGCCTGCTTCAGAGGTTTTGGCTGCGTGTGGCCAGACCTGCACGGCTAACTTGTAACTGGCCCAAACTCTGCGGTCAGCATCCCAAAGGTGCTCTAATAGTCATTGTTCATAGATTTTGTGCAATAATCTACTAGTCTTAAAACATTTTAACTCATCATTCATGCAAGAACCTGAAATAGCAAGTTATCTACAAATAAAAATATTATTGTTGCTTCTGTTCTGGCAGTTTTTCAGGAATAAAACTGATCTAATATTAGGAAAATAGCATTAATGCTTGGGAGGTGAGGTGACAAAGTACATTCCTTATTTTAGGCCACACAGTAGCCTAGCATGACTATGTCTAATTAGCAGTCCTTTCACATATAACGAGAATAAGTAAAAAAATCAGTAATATTAGAAAGAAATCTTCATAGAATACAGTCTGAAAAACACTTGGCACTTAAAGGAAAGTCTGCACCATCAGGAAATACAGTGAGATTGCAGGTGTGGTGCTCCACGGCACCACACCCTCCCTTAATGTGACCCCTCCCTGAACTGAGGGGCACTCCATATCCATACTCTACAAAGGTATTCATCGTTAGAACTTTCCTATTTCAAGCATCATAAGAGCTATCTGAAATTATTCTTTACAAGACTGGGGATGTAACGTGAGTCTTCATTTCTGCCTCTTGGAACATTCCTTGTGTATCATCAAGCAATTTTTGGCACAAGATCTGAGTTTAACATAAAATACATATTTGCAAACTTCTTTATTGATGGGTTTGTATATATCCAGCATAAGCAGATATAATCTCTAAAGGTAGAAAAAGCCATCCTACATAGGGACTTTCAGAAATTAAAAATTCCAGTAACTAGTTTAGTACCTGAGAACAATGTAAAAATACTTGACCAAAGAGATACTAGAATTAGAAATAATATGACAATATTAATGAAAGCTCAATGGAAAATCTGTAAGGATGATGTACTAGCCTTCTCCACTGACTGCAAGTATTAAGAGCTATACTGGAATAACTCATTTCTCATTATGCAGTAAAAAATATACTTCTCTCACAGTCACTCAGCACCCAGAATATAGTTGCAGTAATCAAAAGATTTTGTGGTAACTAGAACCGTAGCTCCTTCTTCTGTAGCTGGTAATGGAAATGAAGTTTCAAAGCCAGTCTGAGGTTTTACCAAGCCACAGTCACTGCAAGTGCATTCTTCCACTGAATACATTAATGTTTCACTTTGAAGTGAGTGTCTAATTCCTTCTGTACTCACACTGCCTTCAGTATTAGCCTTGAGAATGTTATTCAGCTCCACAGAAGAGCCTGCAAATATACAGAAGTTAATTTAGTACATACATCATGCTATACCAGACACACCATTTTTAAAGATCCAAATTTCATTATGTTCCAACTATGTTCCTAACCTTAGTGAAAGTTTTAAGATATAGTGAAAGATTTAAGATGTAGTTATATATGATAATCTTTTGTTCTACGACATTACACCCCCTATACTTCAGGCTAAGCATTTAAGTAATCTAACACATATTTTCTAATCAGTTATTATTGGCTGAATGCTCCACAAATACTAGTATTCGTGAAATGCAAAAATATCTTAATTTTTTCCACCTTCCCAAAATATACCATATACACTTCTCACAGGCTAGAATATTAAGTAAAAATATTTAATGTCTTATAAGATGGAAAGCTAATATTGAATGTGTATCCTCTACCTGGGCAGAATTCCTTTTGCATTCAATGAGAAGAGGATGAAACCCTTCTGATGATCTTTTGTTCTTGAGGGTTCATAAATGATTTCTCAAACACCAGCAAGTAAGCCAGGTATGAATACGCAACACAACAATCCTGACATGATCCAGAACCAGCAAAGAGAGACTGCTGCTTTTACATCTTATTATCTGGATATTTTATCTCCCAATGCCTTTAATAACTTCATTGACACTATTTGAGGAATACGAAACAATCTAACAAAGACAGGTATCAGAATCTGCAATATAAATTATATGCAAAATTTATATATAGTAAGAGTAGCTAAAATGTACAATGATCTAAAATTATTTGATAAAGAATCTTATTTATTCACCTGTGTTTTTCAGTTTTTCTTTTAGTTGCTTTAGGTGCGTCCTTTTAAACAAGACCATTAAGGTGAACAGAGTGAGCATTAAAATTACTCCTAAGCCCAAACAAATCCAAAGAACTCCACTTGAATCAGTACCTTATGAAATAAAAGAGATGCATTAAATTAATTGTAAACAATAACCAATGAATAGGAAACATGTTGAACACATAAAACTTTTCTGTATCAAAGGAGCAACTTCTGCTTCTATTGAGTGACAGCTCAAGTAAAGCTTGAGAGCTTTAAAAATTTACTCTTCTTAACACACATACTCATACAGGACACACTGCATATGTCTTTAACATTTTTGAGCCCATATATTATTCTGATAAACTCTTTCCAGATTTTAGATTTCTTTAAGTTTTTATGTTTCCAATTCTATGTAAAATACAACATGAAAATGACCAGCAGAGCCACAAATATTGAAGAAATATTACTTACCCTTATCACAGTAGCTTTCACATGAAGGCGGCGGTGTACTAGAACATCGAAGATGACAAGGCTTACAAGAGAGCAGTAAATTATCAAAGTATTCATTTTTGGGGCAGTGCGCCATCACAGTCAGTAATTATGGAACTGAAAAGCCACAGAAATTGTAAAAGAGTGAGGATCATCCACAAAGGGCTTCTCAGTTTTAGCAAATCTAAGAACAACTAGCAATAATGGTTAGATTTCGATCACAGCTCCACTACACAGTATCACGTAAAATAAAAAGGATTTAACTCTGAGGCCCCCAAGGAATTACTGTTCCTTTTTTGGCAATTCACAATTGTAGAAAAACTGACCAGCTGCACCAAGATAATTTTCAATGTAAATTTTGTCTGAAACAGAAAATGGTTATTTATAGAATATATTTCTTGAACAGGTGCTAAACATTACAAACTATAGAAAAGCAAGAAGATCTCCAAACAGGAGCTGATAATAATTTTCTTGTCTTTAGAATTTTGTGGGTTTTTTCATGGTGATGGGCCGCAGTAATTATATTTTCCTGTAATATGCAAACTATGCAATGCTTACTTTTTGTTCTTTTTGTCCCTGTCCAAGGAGCATAAGACGAAAAAAATAAGAGGCAGGAGGCATAGCAGTAAGAAGAAACAACCAATTCCATTTCTAGGTTTGCCTCGGACTGATTCTGCAATTTCAGACAACTTCCTTCGTACCTGTTTCCCTGGATGGACAATAATATTTAGAACATATATGCTTTTTAGAATATACTCTTTTCTGATTTTAAATGAGATACTGTTAAAGTACAAGTTCAACTTGTACTTCATAATTGTGTTGTACAAAATACATTTAAGACTTTCAGTTATAACAGAAAGACAAAGTCTAGAGATTCAGTCACTGGGATATTGTTCCTCAATTCCAAATTGGCATCATTTATCTAGTATATTAGGTTTTGGTTGGCTTTTTTGCTTGGTTCATTTTTGGAAGGTTAGTTGGTTTTTTGCTTATAACCATAGTTACATGAGAAATTTAATAAGATTACATTCTAATTCTGAAGAGCTATATGAATATTTTACAATTTTAATTCAAAACCTTATCTGCATTTTCCCTTATTTTTCCATAATGCAGAACTGTCACTGTACTAAAACTGCAGTACCCAGCATGGAACTAGGCAGGCCATAGATTCTGTTCTTGCGGTAGAGCGCGTACGACAGCCTTCTCGGCCAGGTGATGGGGCACGCTGAGCATGCACAGATTTGTCTGTGTGAATGCAGCGAGTGGAACGTTTCTGAAAATGCATTTGTTCTTCTTCCAGGAAGAAAAAAGCCTTCAGAACAGATTGTCACAAAGAAAATAATTTTCACTGCTTACTTGTATCTTGACTTTATAATCTAATATAATTTATTTTAAATACAAAGTTAACAGGTAGTATCTAGCGAGTTGCAGTAACCGCCTCTATCCAGTATCACTGCCACAGATAGATTAGAATTACAGACTTGTTTATAGTTCTATTTCTCCTTGACATAAGTTAATTGCCTTTCTGACCAGAAAGAGAAACGAAAAATATTGTATAAGGAATTGTAATTTCATACGACATTACTATGTGAGAGACTTATTTTCCCATGAAATGCACCATGTTGGAATACACAAACTGTTTTTACTGGAATAGTCTAACAAAGCAATCTGTATTCTAGTCTCTAGCAGATGGAACTGCTTATTGTGGCTTGGCACTTGTTTCTATAGGCCAGGTGTACAGCTGTAGGCTTCTTGTTACGGGCTTTTCTCCCTATTCAAGATTAGTGGATAAACAGGAATTGACAAAAACTGATTTAGGCATGACGAAAGAAAATATGGATACAGACCATGGGTTATGCCAGAGATTTCACCAGGAAGCCAATGCTGGTGCTGAAGTCATAAAACTGGTTGTGATACATTCACACTCTAGGGGAAGAAACCTAAGTTATCACTAGAATGTCATTCCTGTTTCTGATGAAGCACCGTTTGGTAACTTACACATAGAGTTACTTGAGTTTTTGCTTTTAAGATGCTGTTAATCTTTTCAGTCATGGAGAGGATAATCACATTGTCAGGCAGATATTCGTGAAAGTATCTTCATGGTATCCATAGGTACAATAAGTGAATTTCAGGACAGAGAAGCTGGGTCTAATGCTTTAATCTTTTATCAGCATAATTCCATTTACTTCAGTGATATGTTCTCTAATTTTACTTAAATATAGTATTTTCCTGTGCCACAACTTTCCATTGTTCTGCATTTTTATATTCGTACCTATAACTTGTACTAAGATCCCTTATTATTTTAGAAAGGAAACAGCTGACTAATTCTATATTTGTTTTCCTCAGCTGGTTCCAACACTACACATCTGCAGGACAGGTACAGTCTTAACTATAGCAAAATTCGTTATGAAATCGACAGCTCTCAAATTCCAAAACTTTCAAACTATATCACAGCTGCTGAATACTTTTAGCATTATTTTTAGTAGTCTAGGGAAATCACATGTGCACTATAACAGATGAATGAACTAGTTCCTTAATCAGTTTCACACTTTTTTTTCCAGTTGTAACAGGGGTGTGGGAGAGGATTGTCTTTGTTTCAGCTGCTTTTGTTACAGTTTTCTTGCCTCATTTTTTTAAAATGTATGATAATGACACTGGTTTGGTTTGGTTTGTTGGGTTTCTTTTTACTTTTGACTGAACTGTATATTTATTTCGAACACTAGCTTTCAACAAAGCAGTTTTGCTAAATAGGTAGGTTTACAGCATTTTGGTATTAATTCACAGCTTCACAAAGAAGAAAAAGAAGTTCAGATCAACAGTGGTGAGTATTTTTGCTGGGAGATTGTGAAATGTTGTTGTTAAATAGCACGTAGAAATCCCAAGAAGGCAACACAGATAATACTAAGCTTGAACAATGATAATTGATAGTTAATAGATAGATAATTGAAGTTCAGTGTTGTTACCATGAAGAAAGAAACTTTGAAATAGTTGCTAGCAATAGGTTCTGTTACACAGAACACCTTTATGTGCCACTTCAGAATTATTTTTAACGGAAGAGGCATTCTATTGAGATATGTCTGTGACTTCTCCCATATGCTCCCACCTTCTGTATCTCTGACCAAAGAGTAAAAAAACAATGCTTGGCACTCCAGAAGTCAACACATGTAGTTCTTGTACTGTTTTCAAAAAAACAGGCTTAAAACCAAAATGCACACAGATACTTGCAAGGTATCTTCAAAAGGTATTGGCTGAAGGAGGTAGCTTTCTCTGGAAAATGTTAGTCTAATTTTCCTGCATATCTGCATGGGTAATATTTAGCTACTTCACAGGAACAGTACAAAGTGACTTTATTAAAATTCACTAAGTGCTTTCAGTGAAAATTATTAAGCCCATGCAAAGTAGGAGTTCATAGAATCATAGAATACCAGGTTGGAAAGGACCTCAAGGATCATCTGGTCCAACCTTTCTTGGCAAAAGCACGGTCTACATAAGATAGCCCAGCACCCTGTCCAACTGAATCTTAGAATTGTCCAGTGTTGGGGAATCCATCACTTCCCTGGGGAGATTATCCCAATGGCTGATTGTTCTCATTGTGAAAAATTTTCCTCTTGAGTTCAATCAGAATGTCCTCAGGAGTAATTTGTACCCATTACCCCTCATCTTTTTCATGTGACTCCTTGTGAAAAGGGAGTCTCCATCTTCTTTGGATACTTTCTTCTTTAAATACTGGAACATGGTGATAAGGTCTCCCCTAAGCCTTCTTTTCTCAAGGCTGAACAAATCCAGTTCTCTCAACCTTTCTTCATATGGCAGGCTTCCCAGTCCTTTGATCATCTTTGGCCCTTCTCTGGTCCCTCTCCAGCCTGTCTGTATATTCTTTGTATAGCGGGAACCAAAACTGAACACAGTATTCCAGGTGTGGCCTGACAAGTGATGAGTAGAGTGGGATAATGACTTTATCTCTGCTGGTGATACCCTTGTTGATGCAACCCAGCATCCTATTGGCTTTCTTTGCTGCAGCAGCACACTGTTCACTCCTATTGAGCTTGTTGACCCCCAGGTCCCTTTCCACAGAGCTGCTCCACAGACAGGCAGATTCCAGCCTGTGCTGCACTCCTGGATTATGCTTTCCCAGGTGCAAGACCTTACATTTGTCTTTGCTGAACTTTGTTATGCACTCCTGCTCTACTTATTACTGTAATGTATCCTACAACTGATACATATTTGATATGATATGTTACTATTCATAAAAACTGTGAAGAGTGGGCTTAAAGAGAGAAATGTTGATCTAAAGGCAACAAAAGAAATAATAAGATAAGTCTAGAATGGGTATACACGCTGCGTATAATACTGCCCCTCTATGTCCACCATCGCTACACCCAAATAGGATTTCTAAATTCCAGGGAAAATATACTGAAGTTGTCAACACAACAACCATGTAAATTAACTCTCAACAGTAAGAATACCTTCACTGGTGCAGTTGATGCAGACATGAGATATGATTTCATCTCTGAAACTTACAAATTTCACTTCTGAAACGTAAAGTTTCACCCTTAAAGAACCTTCTGGAAAGACAACCAGTTTTATAGCTCAGGTTCTGAGGTTCAAAGGGAAGTCTGAAATCAAACTTCGGGCTTCCGTGCTCTACTAAAGCAAAGACAAATACATCATTGATAATTTACAGGTAAGATACATTCCAAAAGATACTATTGTGAAGCAGATGGGATTAATCTTTTCTAGAAAACCACATGCTCTCAAAACACTGCACAAGAATTTTTCAAAAACTGTCTTAAATAACTCATGCAAGTCTAAGGTAGCCTGGACTGGTCTGAATCTGCTTAGGATGGCCTGATGAAACAAACAGTTATGAGTTCATGATGTAGACCTACGTTTTCCTTTCCAGATCATAGCATCTTTCTGGATGATCTCAAAAAAAAAAAAAAAAAGGAATACTATTTCAGTGAGATGTAAGATGCATATTCTATTTCTAAGTTTGAAGCTTTTCTCAAGCAGATTAAGAAGCTAACATTTGTGGAAAAGTAACTAAGGTCTTGATGCGTTCAGTAAAAAGAACCCATAGCAAGTAGACGACGGTAA